ACTTGCCCTTGCAAACCATGCAAGCACGGTGTATCCTACACTCAAGGTCGGTCTTGGTATATCGACAGGCCGAGGAAGAAACTAAAATCTTGGCCCCCATTGTATAAACATGGAAATGATAATCAATATCTGTTATCAACAACCACTTAAAGTCGAGAGGCTCTGGCGCTAGCGAAAGATTTGTCTCTCCAAAAGATGATCATCGAATCATAATCTAACCAAATTGTTGAAAATATTTCTCAGGAAACCGTAAGAACATATTATTCAATCGTAAAGGTGATAGTAGCTCGAAAGTCAGGGTTCATTGATTGCAGCTATCCTAGACTTTTGAAGGATAGCTTCTGCCTTTGAAACTCACGCTCTGGCCAAGTTTTCTCATTCTTTGGATCAAGGACAGCATGTTTGGCTATGCCAACCTCATGATCACATGCATATACCCCTTATTGTTTCTTATGATCAATAAAGCTTGGTAGATTGTTCTAAGAAAAACTAATACCATTAACGGGGGCCAACTTGGCAAGGAGGAAAAGAAACTTCACTAGCAAAGCAGCAAACCAGTGCAGGGTGGCAACCTGACCCGGCACTGCTGCATCCAGCATTTGCTGGAATCAAAAAGGCCTCTCCGTCCATTGGCAACGTTATGAATCAAGCTAATTAACGAAGGCAGTCAAAAGAAGCCACTAATTAAAATGCGGTGCGCATTCTTAATCGGCGAGGCCCACATGGTCACAAAGATACTAGAAGTACTATTACTGCTGTACTGTACCACCATTTGTTGATGATAGAGCTGGCTTGTCGGTACGCAAAGTATCGTGCATGTGTGGAATATTTTCTTTACCTTGCGCGGCGGGCGTACCAACCTACCAAGACCCGTATTTTATAACCCACTAAAACCTCCTAAACGCAGCACGAAATCTCCATTCCGATCAAAGTTTTTGTACATTAGCACCTGCACACTAAACTTTGGGCAGGAAAAAGAGGTTAGATCGACACACTAATCTTCATAGTGGGATGCCAAAGCGAAGCGCCGAAGAAAAGAGAAGAAAAGAAAAGCGGCGAGGAAAAGAAGCAAAAGAGAAGCCAACGCAAAGCAGATTCGGGCCGTCGAAGGCGCCACGTATGGAGATTACTACCAGACCGTTGTTGATCTCCGCCCATGGTGGCGATCGCATATGGTAGCACATCTCCGAAGCCGAAGCCGCTCGCCCGCCCGAAAATGGCGGCGTCTTCTCTCTCCTCTCAGCTTAATTCACACTCTCTCCCCTCCCGGTCTGTCTTTCTCTCACTCTAGAAAGCAGGACCGAAGCTGCGCTCTGGCTTTGGCTTTTATCTTCTTCTTCTGCGTGCGAGCTCTCCGCTCGCACCGCCCGCCAAATGCCTCCCGCCATCGCGCTGCTACTCGCGCAGCTGGTGCTGTGCGGCTGCGTCTCGCCGGCGGTGTCTGCCGATGCCGTCGTCCCCAGGCGGGTGCTGCACCAGCCGCTCTTCCCCATTGAGTGGACTCCGCCCCCTTCGCCGCCGCCTCCACCGGCGCCGGACTTCACCTCCGACCCCAGCCCTCCCGTGGCCACGCCCGATGCCCCTCCCGTGGCCACGCCCGATGCCCCTCCCGGCGACTTCTTCCCTCCGGCACCGCCGGTGTCCAGTGATGGTGGTGGCGGTGGCGGTGGCGGCACGGTTTCGTCCCCTCCAAACACCGTCACCGCCGATGTCTCCACCCCGCCCTCTCCCACTGCTGCTGGCCACGGCCCCAAGAAGGCGACCATAGTGGCGGCCGGGGCAGCCGCCGCCGCAGGGGTCGCTCTGCTCGGCTTCGCCTGCGCTTTCCTCATCACCGGCCGCGCCCGCCGCCGCTGCGACTCGCAGAAGCTGCTCGGCCCCGACGGCGGGCCGGCGCTCCGCCGCACGGCCCCCTCCGCCACTGACTTCCTCTACGTCGGCACGGTGGAGCCCACCACGCCCGCGCACCAGCGCGGGCCCACCAGTGCCGATCTCGCCGGGTCCCCGTACCGCAAGCTGCGGAACGAGCGCGCGCGGCGCGCGGTGTGCCGCGACGAGGCCACCGACCACCCGAGCCCGGAGCTCCGGCCGCTCCCGCCGCTGCGGCGCGCCACCACGATGGGCTCCTCCGACGAGGACGCGTACTACACGCCGCGGCAGCGCTCTGGGGGCTCCGGCGCCGGCGGCGGGGCCGGCAGTGGCGTGTACGGCGAGACGTGGAGCGAGGCGAGCGCGTCCAGCCCGCCCACCACCACAACGGCTTCCCGCCGCAGCCTCCCCAGCATGACCAGCGACTTCTTTCCCCCGGTCGCCGCCATCGCCGCGCTCCCGCCGCCCCCACGGTCCCGCCGCACGCGCACGCCCCCGCGCACGCGCTTCTCCACTGGCTCCACCCCCGACGCCAAACAGGCAATCTCGCCATCCCCGCGGCCGGTGCAACCCTCCAACCCACCTTCACGGCCACCGCCACCACCTCCTCCTCCTCCTCCTCCACCACCACCGACAGCGCCGCCCAAGTCCAACACAGCTCCAAGACCACCACCTCCTCCACCACCGCCACCGATGGCGTCAACCAATAGCCTCCCTCCAAAGACGGGGGAGCCGACATCCAGGCGCCGGTTGCTGAAGCCGCTGCCGCCGGAAGGGCCCCGCATTGCCATGCCGATGCCGATCACGGCGGCGGCAGCGGCGGAGAACAACGGGAGCACGTCGATGCGGGCAGAGGACGACGCGGCCGGCGGCCTGCCGAAGCTGAAGCCGCTGCACTGGGACAAGGTGCGGGCGACCTCCGACCGCGCCATGGTCTGGGACCAGCTCAAGTCAAGCTCATTCCAGTTGAGACCCTGTTTTCACACTAAACGCTCTCTATCCGTATATGCCGGTGGCCTCCGAACTGTGCGTGATGTCGAGGCGTCTCTTTCAGGTTGGACGAGGACATGATCGAGGCGCTCTTCATGAACAACTCCATGCCCGCCGCGCCGCCGAGGGACACCGGGAGGAAGCCCGCCGTGCCGCCGTTCAGGCAGGAGGAGAGGGTGCTCGACCCCAAGAAAGCGCAGAACATCGCCATCTTGTTGCGCGCCTTGAATGTCACGCGTGAGGAGGTCTCGGACGCGCTCCTGGATGGTGAGTGTTTGTGCTGCAAGCCTGCAACTACTGTCATAATTTTGCGCCGAGTCTTTTGCGCCCTTTGATGAAATTTCAGCTCATTTTTCACCTGATTAGCATTCGCAAAATTGAACCAACTTTCCACTGTTCTTTAGCTAAGAAATATGATACTCCCCAATTCTGTTTGCAAACCTCAAATTGAGGAGTTATGTTTGATTGTGATTAGGTATCTAGCATAAGGATGCTTTCGGTGGTAGGTAGGACACTCTTTTCATCTGATTTTGTGATTCGTGTTTTGCTTTCAATGAGATTCACATTTGGAGCTTGCACTTCGATAGTGATAGGTACTAAGAATTAACAGAAACTTCCGGTTCTTGACAATAAGACCTCAACAGAATTTACAAGGACTTGGAATCAATAGGGGAAGAAAATGGCTCGACCAATCCTTTTCTAGTAGGAAGGTTGTGAACATCCAGCAATTGATGAACTGATTGTTTTTTCCTTTCTTCCATTATAACCGATGGCGTCGTCTCACTCGACTTCCAAAGTCCAAAACCTAAAATTTGCCCTCCGAATCAAACGCTCACCCTGATTTCTATACATATTCTTTTTCATACTTCTCAATGGAGCGTTGTGCTGTTTACATCATTTTTCTGTACAGCAGTGTCCACTGACTACATTATTTGTTCTCCCCATTTGAACAGGCAATGCTGAATGCTTAGGCAGTGAGCTTTTGGAAACATTAGTCAAGATGTCACCTACTAAAGAGGAGGAGGTCAAACTACGAGATTATAGCGGCGACTTAGCGAAGCTGGGTACCGCAGAACGCTTTCTCAAGACTGTGCTGGATATACCTTTCGCCTTCAAAAGAGTCGACGCCATGCTGTACCGAGCCAATTTCGAGACTGAGATAAATTACCTAAGGAAGTCTTTTGAAACGCTAGAGGTATGCACTATTTTTAAAATCCTATTGTCATTTTGGTACCGCACATCCTTGACTTACGTATCAAATATCAATATCCATACTCAGCTACTCCCACTGCTCGATAATTCATTTTTGGAACGGAGGGAGTATTAGACATGTGGTTTGCTCACATTTCATCACTTGTTTTCAGGCAGCTTGTGAAGATCTTAGGGGCAGTAGGTTGTTCCTAAAACTCCTTGAAGCAGTGCTGAGGACCGGGAATCGGATGAATGTCGGCACGAACCGGGGTGAGGCTAAAGCCTTTAAGCTTGACACCCTCCTCAAGCTCGCAGACGTCAAGGGAGCTGATGGCAAAACCACGCTGCTGCACTTTGTTGTCCAAGAAATGATCCGATCAGAAGACGCGAAACCTGAAAAGGAAAATACCACAGCCACCAGCTCTAAAGATAAAGGCCTGAAGGTTGTGTGCGGGCTGAGCAGCGAGCTCGGAAACGTCAAGAAGGCGGCTTCCATGGACTTCGATGTTCTGCACGGGTACGTCAGCAAGCTCGAAACAGGCCTCGAGAAGATCAAGTCGGTGTTGCAGCTCGAGAGGCAATGCACGCAGGGCCAGAGGTTCTTCACCGCGATGCAGGGCTTTCTGAAGGAAGCCGACAAGGAGATCGAGATAGTGAGAGGCGAGGAGAAGCGGGCTCTGGGGAGAGTGAAAGACATCACCGATTACTTCCACGGGGACGCCGCGAAGGAGGAGGCGCACCCTCTGAGGATTTTCATGGTGGTGAGGGACTTCCTCTCGATGTTGGATCACGTCTGCAGGGAGGTTGGCCGGATGCAGCAGGACAGAACCGTCGTCGGGTCGGCGAGGTCGTTCCGTGTTTCGACGACAGCCCCGTTGCCGGTCCTAAGCTTGTATGGCCAACGGCGGCAGAACAACTCCGACGACGATGATGATAGTATGTCGTCGTAGGAGAGGGTGAGGGTGGTGGTGGTGGTGGTGAAGGAGCAGAATGAATTTTGCAATGGACATAGCACATATGGACTGTGATAGCTTTAGCAGCCGCGGCAAATGTATGATAGTGATAAGTAAGCACATATTTAACCTTGGGATGACCAAGGTTAGGAGAGATCGGGGTGTATACGTTTGGAACATGTGGAATTTTTTGTACAAATGAAGAATAATGACAAGAAGATCTTCCTCTTTTCGTTGGGTAGTTTGCAATGCTGAGGCTTAGAAGTAGGCTGCTTCACTAGTTATCTACTCGCAGCAGCTACACATGGTCACAGGAACCTTTTCTTATGTATAATTATGTTGATTCATGTAGTGGGGGACTAGTGGTGTAACCTGGAAATAATTTTTCAGATGACCACCAAATTTCTGTCTGCGCAAATAATCAGGAACCAGCCCAAAATTAAACTTTTTTTTATCAGAACAACTGTAAACAACTTACATTCACCCACTGTACAATCTCCTCTTTCAAATTTCTCCTGCGCTTGGAAAAACAGGCAAATCTATCAGCCATACCTTGGATGGATATGCTTTATATATCACTTGAAAAGCACTAGTACTAGGCCATCCTTCCTTCCAGATATCTCTGCAAGTAACAGAATGGTGAAAAGGGGAACCATCACTATGTGTTAGTACGATTTAACTGTAAAAAAGCATGGTCAAGGTAAAGGATGAGAGCACGGCTGCCATGGCATGCCAGCGACGCCACCGCCACCATCATCTCCTCCATTGCCGGCAGCAGGCCTTTTCCTCTGTACTGTACAGGTGAGGCGATCGATGGAGATCACTTGAGCATGTCCTCTTTGCGTAGAGATAAAGAAAGCACCGAGGGAATAACTAGGGCGAAAGTATGTCGCTAACCTTTTTCTCCCAGGCGAATGATGATTCCAAGCTTCACGAGTCTGCCTTCATTCCTTCCTGTAGTCTGTAGAGTAGAATGGAGACGTGATGGGAGTGAATGAGCCGCTATCGTGTGTGAGTAAAGGTAAAACGGAGTGAAGCAAAGGGTATGGCATCATCAAGGATGGATGGTTCCTTGGTGACGCCATGATTGTTACACTTGAATTCATAATTCTCCTCTGGAGACGCCATGGCCTCGGCCACTCTCAAACATACCGGATTTTGGACAGAAAGTGTACCCATTTCTATGCCGTAAAAACTAAGGGATGAGGTTCCCAACAACAACGATTTCCAGTCTACACATAAAAAAGAGAAAGTATTTCCCGTTTCTATGAACCATTGCGGCCACACATTCACACACTATCCAATACAAAACATGACATGTTCCAAAGGTGCACATCAATAGGCCACGCGGATTTGTTGGATCAACATAAAACCTTTCAAGTACCAAAAAGGAAGCAGTTCCTGGCGTGACCAGGCTACTTCACGGTAATTCACCTTTAAGAATTCTCACATTTCATACATCGTCTTTTTCAAAACAAAAAAGTATCTATGGGGGCTGCAGCTGCATGTTGTGTATCATGTAATTGGAACAACCAAAATACAAGCTTGGCTTGTGTGAACATCATCTGTCCCTCAAAACCACTTGGACAAATTTACACTTCCTGTTGCACTTCAAACGGTGGTGCGAGGCTAAAGCCCTGTCATTCCTTGCATATGCTTCCTCAGCGCCTGATCCCTCCGGTTATGATTCTGGCCGCCTCTCCTTCCGCCCCCTCCACGGGGGCCTGGCCCTCCTCGAGCGAAACCTTGTGCTGCATTACGGTCTTCATTGTCCTCCACTGGATCGTCATGGTTCCTGTCCCCTCTTCTTGCACCACGGCCAAAACCTTGCTGGCCATGGTTATTCACTTCTGGCCTGTTGTCCTCTTCCCTGTCCCCTCTTCTTCCACCACGACCAAAACCTTGCTGGCCATGGTTATTCCCTTCTGGCCTGTTGTCTTCGTCCCTGTCCCCTCTTCTTCCACCACGACCAAAACCTTGCTGGCCATGGTTATTCCCTTCTGGCCTGTTGTCCTCGGCCCTGTCCCCTCTTCTTGCGCCACGACCAAAACCTTGCTGGGCATTAGGATGGTTGTTCACCTCTGGCCGGTTGTCCTCGTCCCTGGCCCCTCTTCTTGCGCCACGACCAAAACCTTGCTGGACATTAGAGTGGTTGTTCATTTCTGGTCGATTGTCATCATCCTTGGTCCCTCTTCTTGCACCACGGCCAAAACCTTGTTGGCCATCGTTTACCTCTGGCAGGTTGCCATGGTTCCTGCCGCCTCTTCTTCCATCACGGCCAAAACTTTGTGGCCCACTAGAATTCTCGTTCTCCTCTGCTGGGTTACCCTGATCCCAGCCACCTCTTCTGCCCCTGCCCCGACCACGGGGATTCGAGCCTCCTCTGCTGAAGCTGTTTGCATGACCACCCTCCTCTTCCTCCACAACTCTATGCTGCCTGTTGGGAACTCCCATAGGTAAATTTCCACCAATAGGTAAATTTCCACCACGACCAAGACCATGAATTGTATCTTTCTGAGTATTGTTTAAGACTGCTGCCTCTCGAGCATTTGATACAGCAACTGAACCAGCAACCTTGTAGCTGTAGTTCTTCCCGTCCTTGACATAAAACTGTGGCTTCTTCTGTGAAGACCAACGTGGGCCACTGGAGGAACCCTCAGCATCATTGGCGCCCTCTGCTTCCTCGTAACTTGACTCCGCCACGCTGAAGCCAAGATCATCAAACGAGTCATCATACTCATCCTCGTACTCATACTGGGAATCAAGGACAGCTGACTTAACAGCGTCTTTGGCTTTTTGCGAGTCTAGAACTGCAAAGTTGGGCAGATCATCATTGGTCTTCCTTGTAAATCTACCTTGTGGAACTGATGATACAGATGAGGCAGGAGCCTTGGATGCTGATGAAACTGAAGATAAATATGAGATAGGAGCCTTGGATGCTGATGAGACTGAAGAAGATTGGGCTTCAACTTTATGGGGTTTATTTGCAATATTAGGAATAGTTTCCACTAGTACGCCTTTGCCTTTATCTTTCGCAACACTAGGTGCAGATTTTTGTTGTGGCATCTCTTGTAACGAAGTATCTAAAGCTAGAAGATCCTGATGAAGTGTTACATCTAGTATCCTTTGGATAACTTCCTCAGGGTTCTGGTTGTAGGCTTCCAAGCAAGCAGCAAGGAAACCTTTCCCATAATGAGGAAGAAGGTCCCTTATCTGACTAATCTTGGACTCAATGACAGCAGCTTCCTCATTCTTCTGTTGAAGTTCACCACCATGGGAAGATATTGGCAAATCAGGGACACTATTCCAAGAAGTGACAGTGGATCCGCACAGCCGTGATATGAACTGGAACTGCTCATCCTCCATGTATATCCATCCTGTTAAGGATTAGCAGGAACACATGGAATAAATCAATAGAGTGTTTGGCATCAAAAGGAATATGATAAATAAAACTTTGAATCATACAAATGTGGCATGTACATCAATCGAACAATTCTGCCAGGCTTGTAACATTTTCACATGACAAAATCTATAGGAAACCAAAACAAGTGCTTTCTTATGAAGTCAATAACTCAAAAGTACCAAATGATAGGAACACAGATAGAAGTGCTGCACTTGATTAGTACTTCCTCCGTCCAGGTTTATTGGGCCAGTCTTATTTCGTGCCAAACGTTGACCGTCCATATGACCCACAAAATGAGGTATATAGTACAAAAGGTAAACTATTGGATTTGTATTTGAAAGAGGTTTTCCACGGTATAATTTTTGTGACATATGGTTCATATTTCATAAGTTAAATTTTATGGTCAAAGTTGACCCAAAATACGAGGGAGCCTAATAAATCTGGATGGAGAAAGTAGGTACAAGTAACGCTGTTGGTGCCTTAACTGGGGCAAAAACAGTGGAAGCCATCAAAAACTGGTAAGTATGACAAACTCGTACAGGATGAAGCTATTTCAGCAAGCTTGAAAAACATTTCCTTTTGACACTGAATTTCATTCTTCCTATTCTGAGATTGACTGAGAGCATTCTACTATCTCAAACTAGAACAGCACCAAACAATATAAGCCTATCAACTGTGTTAACTCACACACAGACATGCGATAAGTACTGTGACAGCACACCAACAAGATAAACGAATTCAGTACACATATGCAAGAGATCAGTTTATGGGGCAATGAAACCTTATATTACTTCTCCAAATAAATCTACAAAATCTCATGCTATTTCTGAAAGAAACAAAACTAATGATGTCGAGATAATTCTGACTGAAATTTTGACACAATAAGTACAGGGGGGCCAAAAGGTTGTGCGGAACTTTACAAACATAAGACGCTAAGCAAGCATTCCATTGAGAAATTTGATCAATTACCTTTGTTCCGAATATCGCCAATCCGGCTCATCAACTGAAATTCCTTTTGAAGAGCTTGCAGAAACGTCTTTCCAGGATTCCCTTTAGAAGAGTAAGTAGCTTCTCTATTGATATCCTTGAGTATTTGAACTATTATTTCTCCCCTGATCATAGGATCTTCGACTTTAGCTGGAAACATCTTAGTAGATGCTTGGACATCCTCCTCCTTAAGTTGATAATTTAAATAGCAGAACTCTAATAATCTCCAACCAAATCCAACAGCTCTCTTTGATAGCATTCTTATGCCAAGAACTATGTCATTAAGTATACTTTCAGACGAAGTCTCTCCATTGCTTTGGGAACTGGACATAACTTGAAACCCCTGAAGCAAAGATGGTAACAACAAATCATACAAACTTGCAAGGGTGTTCAGCAATTCCTCAACTCGATCCCTGCAAATCAAGTAGTACAAAACCATCAATGCCTAGTTAAGAACACATGCACCAACCATTGGGATGAATGAATAGAAGCTTACCCTCTTTCAAAAGAAGCACATAATAATAATGCAGCAGGCTGGTAAGCATCAGCAAAGGCATCCAGAGTAATAATTGCATCATTAACAAAATCCAGCACCTGAGGGAAATTAAATTCGCAATTAAGCATCAAAGTTAAGCAAAAGAACAACAAATATATCAGAACAAATCTAGAATCCTCTATTCCTAACTAGCTACAACCCACTGCCTGTTTTTCCAAGCCATGCAACCATGCCACATCGGCAAGCCATGCATGTAAGTATAAGTTACATTATTTGCATTAGCATTAGCATTATCTAATAAGTATTTTGTTAGCTTGGACACGGTATATGGGTTGGGCGCTTGGAGCATACCTATGGAGTTTATCCTTCACATTTTTTTCAGGAATGCACTCTTTTAACTGCAATCTAAAGGTTCTTTCTCTTTTATATATCATTTTGTTATATGCTTCATATTTTTATTGTTTTGAAAGTGTAAATAGAGACCACTCTTATATTTTGTTTTCGTTACTTTTAGTTGTTTCTATAGCACCTAATTAGGCATTTCTTTTAACAAGATAACCACAGAAACGCGCAGGGTATCATCTAGTAGATAAAACTGACCTCCGAGAAATCTTTCTGAAGCTGGGTATGTCCACTGACATTTGGTCCAGGTGAACTGAGCACCTGCAAATCAAATTACAATTAAGTTGTGTTTATGCAAGTTCTGTAAGATCTATCTAGGTTGGCATCATTTCGCTGTAAATGCACGATCTATTCTTTAATTCAATTGTGTTGTTAACATTTTAACCATTTTAAGCAAATGTATCCTCACTCTGAATATAATATATTTTTCCTAAACAAATAAAAGAAAATGTACCATCAAATGTCAATCAACCTCTACCCTGACCTAATGCACGTTCAGAACAGCTAAAGAACAATGCAATTTGTCAATTAACGTAATTTCAGATAAAGCAAGTGACATAACAGGAATGCTAAAAGTATATATACATCATATTTAGCTGCAAACATATGGCACTAGTGCAACAAAAGGATCTAAGATCAATACAACTACTATAAGTTGCACCAAAAGGTTGACTGAGCAGTCCCAGGAAACATGATACACTTCTCAGCTAAAGGAGTCTATCCAATATCACAGTTTTTTTTCCTTAAGAAAATAGGACAGCTCCAGGCAACCACTGCACAAGTGAATTATATAAAATTCAGGAATAATTTTCCGCGTAAGGCGAATGAACAAACTGAAATCCTTTTACAAGCAATGTAAATGCACGTCTCAAAAAACATGAACATTAAGTTTCATTGTCATCAACTTCAACCCTGCCCTAATGCGCGTTTAGAACAGCTAAAGAACATGCAAATTGTCAATAACATAATTTGATTAATTTCAGACAATGCAAGTGACATAACAGTAATGCTAAAAGGATATACAACTCATATTTTGCTGCAAAATATGGCACTAGCACAACAAAGGGATCTAAGACCAATACAACTATAAGTTGCACCAAAAGGTAGAATGAGCAGTCCCAGGAAACATGACACTTTGCAGCTAAAGGAGTCGATGCAGCTTCACAGTCGTGTTTTTTTTTAACTAAAGAAAATAGGACACTCCAGGCAACCATTGCACCAGTGAATTATATACTAAATTATTGATCAGAAATTCAGAACTGATTTTCCTCATTAGGCGAATGAACAAACTGAAAAACCTTTTACTAACAGCGCAAATGCACTTCTAAAAAAACTTGATTGAAAACGGAAACAAAAACACTAGCTAAAGGAAATGCTGGTAGTTCTACCATAGGCACAAAGAATTTCTCCCATCAAACTATTGTCTAGATGTTGCTACCCGATAAATGAAGAAAGAAGCTTATATATGGCATCCATCATTAAAAAGTGACCAAAATTCAAGTAAGAAAAAAAACCTGTAGTGAGTCCATGCATCTGTCCTGCATTGTGTGGAAAATGTCCAGGAATTGGGGAAGGACAGTATTGATGCCATCGAGTAAATTGGGCTGCACAATGATTGCATTTGTAACCTGGAGATATAAAATCATTATTAACTGTAAGCATTCATAGCCCATAATAATAATAATAAATAGCTTGAGGATATAGGAACGACATAAAAATGTAAAACAATAATAGTACCAACAACAAATGAAATGCCTCAGGAACCAACCAGTGAACTTGTCAACTCCCCATTGTCATGCCCATATATAGCACATATATCCAACAACTTTGGTAGATCAAGCAGTTTTTTCTCCTGTAGAAGGGCTACAGGGGTACAAATGATTCCACTCAATTCTGCACTAAAATCAATGAACGCACACAATGATCAAAGAAGTAGTCCCAATCTCACCTGTATGCTCCTTCGTACTAAGGGACTCACCCGGGCCTGATCCAGGATCCTTGTTTGATGATCTAACACACAAACAAGAGACACACCACAACAATTATATGCAACTCTTGATGCCATACACCATCTATGAAAAAGGTTTTACAGATATAAAATCGAAACTTGCAAAATGATAGAAATCTCACATGCGGTAGAGGACCATAAAGACACGGCGGCAAAGCTCAAGCTCCCCAACAACCAAACCAGCAACTGTCCCTTTGGGGCCCCTGTGTGGCAAATCATACCACCGGTGTCTGAATTGTAGGTAACTATCTAGGAATGCATGCAGAGAGGCATTCTGTGCCACTGCGGAAAAAACAACTATAAGTATTAGATGTCACTAACAAAGTTAAGCTGCTTGTAGGCTGTAGCTCTGAGATCTCTTCATAAGTTCTAACTCTAGGAGTGAAAACATTAGACAAATCACAAACAAAAACATGATCATCTCGCAATTTCTCCTGTTGAGCTATCTAGTCGTTAAACTATTGTTTACTGGGACCTGTTCCGGTTAACAATTCTAGAACACAACAGAGAGCCTGGCGCGGTGGTTAAAGTACCAATGATCAATACAATACATGTATTCATCAGCTTTACTTTGTTACTGTAGATACCCATTCAGAGAAGATGCAAGGAACCACATGCACATAGCTTGATAGCTATCTAGTGTTTGATAGTGAAAAATAAAATTTGGAATTGTTGAACATCTGACTAGTAAACTTACTACTTGAGCCAGTGCAATTCATCAGTGCCAAAGTTATATATGCACCACAGACAGCAGTTTTGCTGATATATGGAAGAAATCAATCAAACATTTAAGATTGCAAACATAGTTCAAAAAGGCGCTCGCCTAGGCGCGCTTAAGCTCTGGGCATTGGCCCTAGGCGCTCAAAAAAGCGGCCGGCCAGGTCCTCTGGGAAAAAATCAGCGTTTCCGGCGAGGAATCACGTTTCTCAGGCAAGAAATCAATCTCCCCTTCGAGGATTTGACCTCCCCTGCAAGGATTCATCCTCGCCGACGAGGATTCAACCACTCCGATGACAAATTGACTGATTCCGGCGGGGGAACGAGATTCTCCGGCGAGATATTGAGCTTCACTCGCTGGTTCCCACTGGTGTAAGCAAGGGACAGAGGAAGAGGGAGAGAGGCGGCATCATGCAGCAGGGGAGAGAGGACAAGGGGGAGAGGCGGCGTGAGGAGGAAACCTAAATTTTCTGTCGACTGTGCACCATATTAAAGCTTTAGTAGGAGAATAGGAAGATGGGCCTGTGATTTAATGGGCCTAATTGCGCCTAATCACACCTAAGCTAGAAAAGCGCAAGTAGGTGGCCAAACGCATAATTAACACCTAGCGCTTTTCCGAACTTTGATTGCAAATAAACTTCCAAATCAAGTAGCCAGTACAGATAAGATTTTCAACAACTTAGCTGGGATATTAACTAGATTCCAGACATAATCAGAAATACAACTGAATGCCAACTAACCACTCAATATATCTATATGTGTAAGCCATGAACCAGTTAGTTGAATTGACCACAACACTTCTCCAGATCACAACCCGTTGAGAAGTTTAATATGCATGTTTACAATAGGCAGGAAAATACAATATATCATAAGTTAATAAAAATGCAGGCGGTATTTAAAAAATGTCAATCAATTTGTTAAGCAAGGCAGCAAGCTATCAAGCTATACTCAGCAAAGTGTGTAAATAAGATATGTACGAGTTCAAGCATGAATGAATCCTCAATTTAAGCCACCATATGTACTATACATTCATAAGTCAGTGACGGTATACTAAACTACTAGATCAAAAGTTCGTGATAAGAACCACTACAAATCTTTACTATCAAAGCACTCGACCATTTATAGTGAATTGTAACCATCTGTAAATAGATATTCGCTGTAGTTTCATGATATATCCATGGCTTAGCAAATTACACAGACAACAAAATGTATGCATAAGAATTCGCACTAAATTGCATTCGAGAAACTGTTCTAAACCAGACAAGCAAATCGAATGTTGAAAGGCCAAGCTCCCAAGCTTCCGGCTCAGGTTCCCAATCCAAAAACTAAGGTTTATGATTTGCATCCAATGCACATAGGGGCTGTATTGTATGGTTACCCTGGCGCCAGAACTCGCGAGGCTTGGCACGGAGGAGCGACGCGAGCGCGTCGTTGAGGAGGTCGACGACGGCCTGCGACTCCTGGGCGTCGAGGCCGCCGAGCCCGGCCGCGAGCGCCTCGTCGTGCGGCAGGTAGAACACGAACCCATCGGCCGCACCGCCGCCGCCGCTGCTGCCGGCGCCAGATGCAGGCGGGGTGGCCGATGATCGGAGGGCGGTGGTGAGCGGTGGTGGGGGCGAGGGTTTAGGAGCGGAAGGGGCGGCGGATTTGGGGACGTAGCGCTGCTGCTGGTGCTGCGGCGGCGGCGGCTGCTGTCTCGGCCCGGAGTTGGGAGGGCGGCGCTGGTAGGAGGGTTTGGGTTGGTGGGCGGGCGGCGCGGACGACATGGCTGGATCGGGGGAGGAGGAGATGCCTCCGGTAACGGCGTTCGACTGGGGGAGGCTTGAGAGGGGAAAAGTCAGTAGCCTTCTCGATTTCAGGGGGCACTCCCGGAATTTGGAACCAGGAAGCTCTCTCGCGAGTTGCGAAGATATCTGCCTACCTGTTTAATTTATAGAATTCCCCTAGTCTAAATAATGAGTGTATCTTAGAAATCTGAGTGTGGTATTGTTTGATCTTTGTCGATTTTACTTTTGTAATACGGTACAATCACAGTAGATGCTTACAAACATATGTCATTGGGTTTATCTTCC